CCCCCCCCCCCCCCCCCCCCCCCCCCCCCCTGCCCTCTTGCCTCTCACTCGCGCTCTGTTTCGCCCCTCAGTGAGGGCAACAGTGCACGGCCGCATGCCTGGGCCGGCTTCTGGCCCCCTTTCTCCGGCGCCTGGGGAAGACATCGTCATGCGCGTCGGTCGGCCCCTGGGGGCCGGGCGGCCGCGGTCTCTCCCCGGAGGGGTGGTCTTTTTCCTTTCGCCCCGCCCCCAGACGCAGCGGCGGCGGCGACAACCCGGGGATCAAAAAAAGTGCCGGGCGGGCATTCCGCAGTCTCGGGCAAGTCGAGGTGGTCACGCGATGTCCGGCTTTACAGGCGTGCAAGAGCATCACATGCCCGAGGAGCAGTGAGGCGGCCGCTCCGGTTGTTTTCATCTCCCGCCGGCCCATCCCCGCCCCGCCCCCTCCGGTCCACAGGCCACAGAACCGGCATCCTTTGTCGAGCATCAGCGCCCCCCCCCCGACTGGCACACGGATGAGGCGAAGCCGATTGGCCCCCCCTCCCCCCGCCGAGCCCTTGTTCGGGGGCCCCTCTTCCACATCGGTGCCAGCCGTCAGGGCAGCTCCACCCACCACCACCTCCCCCCCCCCTCCCCCCTCCTCCTCCTCCTCCTCTCTTTCTCCCCCTCCCCCCTCTACTACCTTTCATGTCCGAGCAGCCAGGGTCTCTTTCCATCCCCGATCAGGGGATGGTCTCACCGAAGGTCTGGGAGCAGCATGCCCTGCTGAATCTCCTGGTCGAGACCCAAGCCGAAAACATCGAGCAGGTGCGTGTGGTTGTTTGTCCGTCTTGATCGCGTCTCCCAGGTGGTCCGCTCACTCCTCCTCCCTCTCCGTCCCCGAATGACCCCAGTTCGTGCACGCTCTCCTGGACCATGTTGTCCTCGGCCACGCGATGCCCTCCCCGATGCACCTGCTCTCGCAGGAGTACTCCGTGGGCCAGGTTTTCCAGCTGATCGATTGCCTTGTGGACACCATGCGCCTCTGCCTCAACACCATCCCTGCGGCCTCCTCCGATGCGGACGTGCGCGCTCCTGCTGCTGCCCTGCCAGCCAT